TTTCTAATAGCATTTGTATTTTTGTTTGTCCCATTTGTATGTTTTGTAGCCCCAAGAGAAGAAGGATGACGACAAACAGCGAAATGAGGAGAAGTGATATTTCTATATTGCTTTCTCATGCCAGGTTATAGTCTCTGAATTTACCCATTTCAGGATCTGTTGTCAGCTTATGGAGAGAGGCTTCCATTATTAAGGGCATTAAACCGCTCTATTAAGGCATTAAGGGCATTAAACCGCTCTATTAAAGCTTGCCAGTCATCAAGCTTTCTAGCTTTTAAAGGTCCGAAAGCTCGTCATTCTGGTTGTGTACATGCATGTTTTCATATACGGTTTAATCTTGGGAGGGCACTAGAAGGACAGACATTATACGATTGCCAAAGAACATCGAATTGTTCTTTCTATTGTTTCCTTTTCCAAATGAACTGTAATGTGTATCTGATGTTGATTCGTTCTTTGACATAATGATATGTGGTGAATGCTGTGCTCTTTCTCTCGCACACGTACACATTCTTTTGCTCTAGGGTTCCATTCTAATTGTCAGCACTGAGCGTTTCCATATGTTCTGTCTGAATGAAATTTGAAAATGGTCTTGAAAAACATTGCAGCGGGGTGGGGTCTTGCTTCATCTGGAGTATCATCCCTCTCCAGCCTCGTGGATTCTCTTAGGTTGTCGGTGCTACAGAGGTTCATTTGATATCTTGCAAAAAATACTGAAAGACATCACTGATTTATTATCAGTAATTTACTGTGATTCTAGACAGGTTCCTATTCATTGGAGCAGTGTTTTTACTCTTTTACTTTCACGGCAAAAAGTTAGGGAATTAGGGGTACAATTATCATTTTCTAAGGATGCATTAGTCACTGCAAAATTTATTGGAGATAATGATTTAGGCATGTTTCTTTGTTATAGTGTGGAAAGGGGTTCTTTTGTCTTTTGCCAAAAAAAAACAAACAATGTGGTTACATTCATAACCTAGGAGGAGAAAAGAAATAGCATGGGCTCTTTTTAATTTTTTTAAACATAAAATTACGGCATAATCATTTGACTTCAGAAAAATTAAGATTTCAAAAAAATTAAAATTGATAGAGAGAGTGTTTTTATTTTTTTCATTTTTTTTATATTATTTTATTGTAATTTTCAGGTGGAGTAGATATATTTAAATATTTAAAAATTATTATTTAAATTTAGAGGTGACTTATATGTTCTTTGCATACATAAACAAGTGAGCGCTGCTCATGTTCTTTAAATGGCACATGCAATGCTTGAATTGCACCAAATATTACATTTCAGAGTGACAATATGCCTCACCAACCCCATTACAATAATGAGACACATGTTCGTGATCATGATGTGAAAAAATGCTGACTGTGAGTTTTTCCGTCCCTCCCTCTCACCTCTCTCTATTCTAGAAAACCTTTCTAACTATTGCCAAAAAAACAAGAAAGTATGACTATTTGTTTATTAAGTTAAATGAGGTACTTATTTTTTTAATTATAATGTCTTTGTTTTTAAATTATTTATTAAGTTATTTTAAAAAAAAAATTATTTATTTGCACTTGATTTTTTTATTAGATTTGGTCTTTATTCTTTTAATCATGGTGTATTTAGTTTTGAATCCTTAATTAAATTACTGTCTTTAAATTTTATTTTTTCACATTTTATTTTTATATCAAATATAATTTTTATTCTTTTAATTGTTATTTTTACTTGTTCTTATCCCTTTTTTTTCTCATTTATGATTTAGTTTTATTTTATTTTTGTGTCAAATTTATTCTCTTTCTTTTAAAATCTATATTTTTTAAACCACTTCTTTTTTAATTTATTTTTAGAACATCTCTAATTATTTTTGGTTGGTTGAGGATTTTACTTTGTTATTTTTTTGGATTTGTTTTTATATTGTGACTCGGCCTCATGATTTGTGTTACAAGTTTTTAAGGTTGGACATGGTTGGTTTTAGTCATCTAAATAAAAAAAAAAATCATCCATAATCATTAAACTTGTTGGAAATTGGTATTTTTTTTTATGAATTTTATTTTTTTTTATTTTTCTATTTAATTCAATATTTAATGATATTTAAGATTTGACTATCAAATTTTAATTTCAAATTTTGATTCTTCATCTGCCTATCAAATTTTAATTTGTTTCCAATTTCATCCTTAATACATAATCTTGATTTTATTTTTTAAAATTTAGTTCTTATTCTCTTGATTTTTATTTTTTTATTTGGATTCATTTGATAATTTGATTTTTTAAATTTTGCCATTAAATTTTGAATTTTTGTTTATCCTCTTTTTTTTTTTTCAAATGAGGTTTTTATTCTCTCAATTGCTTTTTTTTTAATCTTTTAATTTTATCATTTGATATTTTATTTTATTGATATTTGATCTTCTCGTTTTATTCCTATCGCTTGTATATCTTACTCTAGAGTCAATATGGGATAATTATGAGGTTACAGTTTCAGTAAGCTAACTCGAGTTAATTCAAGTTAATCAAATCCTTTTATATTGTAAAAAAAATCAAAACAATATCATTTAAAAAAAAATAGTTAATGAGTTTTAACTTTGTTTTGCTTGGATTTTCTATAGATTAACTGAAACATGGTTCAACATAAGATTTTGACCATCTTAAACTTAATTAATGCTCCCCAAATTTCTTTAAATTTTCTTTTCAATCAAGTTTTTCCTATCTCATGATCCATGTGGGAGGTTTATCCGGGTGACCCAAGTTTTTTTAATGTCATTTTTTTATCTTTTTATCTTTTTTTCTTTAAAATTCAATGTTTTTTTACAATTAAACTTGTTTTTATCTTCTCTATTTTGTCTTATATTGGGTTATTATGTCTATTTAGTTCTTTTAGCGGGTTTTGACAACCTTATTTTGTTTTGCAAGTATTTGTATTTTAATAACTTTTTATTAATTTCATGCATTAATATTTTTGTATTAGGGAATTCACGGTGATTAATTTCTTAGCTCTCTTTTCATGACATCGAGCCATGAATTGTTTTTATTCTTTAAAATCTAATAATAGCGCTTGGACATCACGAACAAGTGGAATTCCTTAAAATGTTAGTGAGGCAAGAAATCAACATTTATCCCTTGTTTTCTCCCCAAAATGGTTATTATTAGTTAGCAAATAAAGTTAATTTACCTAAGGTAATTTACCTAATTTCTCCCCAAATGGATATTATTAGTTAGCAAATAAAGTTAATTTCCTTAATTTCTTCCCAGACGGATATTATTAGTTAGCAAATAAAGTTAATTTGCTTAATTTCTGCCCAAATGGATATTATTAGTTAGCAAATAAAGTTAATTTCCTTAATTTCTTCCCAGACGGATATTATTAGTTAGCAAATAAAGTTAATTTGCTTAATTTCTGCCCAAATGGATATTATTAGTTAGCAAATAAAGTTAATTTCCTTAATTTCTTCCCAGACGGATATTATTAGTTAGCAAATAAAGTTAATTTGCTTAATTTCTGCCCAAATGGATATTATTAGTTAGCAAATAAAGTTAATTTCCCTAATTTCTCCCCAAAGGGATATATACGCGCTTTGTTGCGGGTATATATCCTGTTGAGTTTTTTGCTCCATCTATACTGCGAGACTTTTTAAAATCAACTTTTTATTTACAAAAACATATATTTTACATAGTAGTAGTTAAAATTATCATGAAAAACTATAATTTAATTTAAAAATTATTACAAAATTTGATAATAACTGAAATAACATTTTAATTTGATTTATATTGAATTTGATTAAAAAAGCCCTTAAATTGATAAAAAAAAACCTTAAAAAACTAGAGGGTAATATATATAAAAATCCAGGAGGATCACTTAGCACCCTTGGCTAAACAATGAAGCCTTAGTAATGTGTGAATACTTTTTTTTTTTTTTTAAATTGAGAAACAACACATCACTATTTTGTTTTTAATAACATAGATGACACATCATTTTTTGGTAATACGCCATGCTGTCATCTAATTCAAATTATGGTCAGGAAGTTGGCTTGTTTTCTTGAATCTAAAAATTTCATTTTCAATTTTTTTATTTAAAAACACTTTTTTTTTAAATCCTAAAAATCCAAATCTAATTTTTTTTACCCAAAACATAAGAAAATTTGATGAAAAAGCAAAAATTAAATTAATTCAACAAGAATGAGTTTATATTTATTTTTTCAGCATACTAAAAATTACAAACCAACTTCATAGAACTCTATTCTTTAAGATGAATCCCATTGACATTAATATAAATCTCTTTTATTATTATTATTATTATTATTATTATTATTATTATTGAAATATAATCAATCAAATGATTTCTCTCTTCTCCCTCAATATTTAAGGATGAAAACTCAAATAAAATAAAAATTATGATCCAAACATAAAATCCTAGACCCAATAATGTAAAGATTTGAAACTTCATAGATAGAATTGTAGTTTTTCATATCTGAACAATATAAATGAGATTCTGATTTTTTTTTCTTAATTTGAATCCTTTTTTTTTATTTTATTTTTACAATAAATTATTTTTTTATAAAATTGATTTTTAATTCATCCTAAACACCAAGTAGATGTATGGAATATAAATAAAAGTAAATGATGTAAGCACCAAGTGCAAGAATAAAATAGTAAAGAAATAAAGTTTAAAAATAAAAAAAGTACCATAGGATAAACAATGTCATCCACGAAGAATCAAGCCATAACCCACATTAAAATTGAGTTTTGTTTTCGATTTTTCATTTAATTTAAATCTTGCAATTTGAACTAGACGTTTTTTCAGAGGGAAAGGGCAAAAAAAAAAAAAAAGAAAAAAAAAAAGAAAGAGAAGAACTTGACTCTCTGAGATGAGATTTACAGCATAGTAATTAGATTTAGAATGATTTTATTAGGGAAACCCGATGACCTTTCAATTCGAGCTTTAGCTATCAAAATTTGACATGAGATCCCACAGTAAATCTCTCTCTCTCTCTCTCTCTCATTTCCTTATAAAGACCTCTTTGACTCTTTGCTGACAGCTACGAGGCCGGCAAGGAAATGCAAGAGAAGATAAGACCAAGGAAAAAAATTGTCTTTGCATGCCATTTGGAGACCATTCCCTCGGCTGAATACGTTGGACCCTTTAAAAAACATAAGAAAACAGAAAGGCAACCTTTCATGCTTAGAATTTGTTGGGGTTGAAATGGAAAAGATTGAGAGGGATTTGACATGGTTTGATGGGTGGGCTCTTATTGCTGTCGTGGTTGTTTTTGGCTTGCATGGTACAGTAGTTAATGGTGGTTATGTGGATTACAATACTGGGGGTGGAGTTGTGCCAGGAAAGTTGAATGTCCATTTGGTACCACATTCACATGATGATGTTGGTTGGTTAAAGACTGTTGATCAATACTATGTTGGATCAAATAACAGTATTCAGGTTCTAATCTGTTTGTCTTCCGAATGATTTTATGGTTTTCTTTAAAGGGACTGATTTTCATGATTGACTTCGTAACCGTTCTTTGGCAGGGTGCTTGTGTTGAGAATGTGCTGGATTCAGTGGTGGAATCATTGCGTCGAGATTCCAATAGGAAGTTTGTTTTTGTTGAAATGGTAATGAAATGAAGATTTTTCCTTTTTCCTGCTTGGTCTTTAGTCTCATACTAGATTCATGGATTCCCTTTTGCATATTTTGTTTTCGTTGTTCCTGGAATATTATTTACAAGTTCTAACTTCAATCAATTGCTTTCCCAGCACAAACAACCGATGTATGACATGCTATGTGCAGGATATACTACTCTTTTATAGGAATCCTAAATGCAGTTCTGCGTTGTTAGACTTTCTGAAAATTCATACATCAAATGCTGTTCTATGTATAAGTTTTATAGTTTAGGATAATGGTGACATATTAGCTGGTTCTGAAATTTCATTCAAGCTACGAAGAAAATAGGGCTTGGAAGAGTTATATCTTGATTATCATAAGATTCAATCGTCAATATAGAAACTTACAAATTTTGTTGTCTTCTTTTCTCTAACTAGAAGTTGGATCTCCTATGGAAGTTGATTGACTTCACAGCAGAGTACCCAAATGTTTGGACTAATCCAGGGCTGTTTGGCAGCTCCTGCTGTTTTCTAGCAGGATATCTTGTCATTTGATGTGAAATTCTCTCACGTCTTTTTTTTTTTTTCTCACTCCCATTTTCCCTTGTCATGCTATCCAGTACATATGCGGTTACAATAATCTAACAAAGCTGAATGTGAATGATATGTAGGCTTTTTTCCAGCGATGGTGGGTAGAACAAAGTGAGGAAATTCAAGAGCAAGTGAGGAAACTTGTTGAGGCTGGCCAATTGGAATTTGTGTATGTAGTAGTTATAAAGCAATTTTCAGTGTGTCTGCATTTTCATGTGCTTTTGTAGCGAGGGAGAGATTTAACGTTTTTGGTAGTTATGCATGCACAACATGCATTTCTTTTATGGAAATGACAAGCGTTTAAGTGTTCAATTGCAGAAATGGTGGTTGGTGTATGCATGATGAAGCAACTTGTCATTACATAGACATGATTGACCAAACAACTCTAGGTCACCTCGCAATAAAGGAGCAGTTTAACAAGACTCCTCGAGCTGGGTGGCAGATTGATCCATTTGGACATTCTGCAGTGCAAGCTTACCTTCTTGGGACTGAGGTGTAGAATCTTACAAGAATGTTATTCTCAAAATAAAATAAAATAAAAACCTTCGTTATCTAAAGTTGATGTACTGTTGTCATCTGATGATTTATTTTTTTAAAAGTTGGCTTATTTTCCAATGGGTTGACAGTGGACACATTTTGATTAGTTATATTGTTCCTTCAGCTTGGATTTGATTCTGTACACTTTGCAAGGATTGATTACCAGGACAGAGCGAAGCGCAAAGATGATAAAGCTCTTGAAGTTATATGGCGTGGATCCAAGACATTTGGTTCTTCCTCTCAGGTTCTTAACAACAACCTATCCATTGTTTATTGAAAATGGTTTGTGGGGTTTACAATTCACATGTTTGGGCTGATTGCAGATTTTTGCCAATGCCTTTCCTGTTCATTATAGTCCACCAAATGGTTTTCATTTTGAAGTGTTTGACGACTTTGTGCCAGTCCAGGTTCGAACTACAAACTACAAATGTTCACTTACTATTTCCAAATACTATGCAACTTTCTTGTTGAATTTTTACCTAGCCTATTGCATGTCATATTGCAGGACAACCCCCTTTTAGATGACTACAATGTTGAGCAGCGGGTTAATGATTTTATAAATGCTGCTATGACCCAAGTAAAATTTGAACTCCTCTCTTTCTCTCCAATTATGTGCTTCTCATGGCTGCAAAGGAGTCAGGTGTTAAGCACTTCATTTTGTTAAATGAGCTGAGCATGTATAATAGAATCATCCCACCATTTATCATGCAGGCAAATGTGACAAGGACAAACCATATTATGTGGACCATGGGCGATGATTTCCAGTATCAATATGCTGAGTCTTGGTTCAAGCAGATGGACAAATTAATTCACTATGTTAACAAGGTAATATTTATATGAAATAGGAAAACACATACCTTGAATCTCATCATTCTAAGCCTATTTAATAAATGTTGATGTATAATGCTTGCCAGAGGCGCTTAGTCCAAAACTCTACAGAAGCAATTTGTTGTGGTGTAATTCCCAAGTGTTGTTCCCTCTTACCCCGCCTTCACCTCCTGTAATCTACTTGGTTTTCCACGCCGTTAGATATAGTGTCGGACAATCACAGAAGATGTGCAAAGAACCTCTCTATCACTACTATTTTATAAGAAAGAAAGAGTGTGAGCCCATCAATCAGAATGCTAATGACATGTGTTATAGGGTATATATATACTAGATGTAGGAAGACCAGAAAGCTCTTGTTTAAGTTTCATGCAGTTGTGATAAGATAAGAAACTAATGCAGTCCAATGCCTTTTCAACTCTTATTAATCCAAAATCCCAGCACAGGCAGTTGAAGATATTAAATGCTAAATGCAATTTGAACTTCCATTAAGCATATTGATCTTTCAGGATGGTCGAGTGAATGCTTTGTATTCTACACCATCTATCTACACTGATGTGAAAAACGCAGCAAATGAGTCTTGGCCACTGAAAACTGATGATTATTTCCCGTAAGAAAAGCGTAGCTTATTTATTTATTTATTTATTTTCCTATTCATCAGACATCAGTCTGTTGAGTACACACACTTGATGCTTGTTTTTGGTCAGTTATGCAGATACGGAAAATGCCTACTGGACTGGCTTTTTTACTAGTCGCCCAGCCTTGAAGCGATATGTTCGTCAGCTGAGTGGATATTATTTGGTATGTCAGTAGCCACTTTGTCTTGGTGATTTGTGGTTTCGAAAAGATATTAGGAAAAGTTCTGATGTGGTTCTAAAGTTTCTACATTAGAGCTTGCTCTCAATTTTGCTTGAACCAGGTGGAAATGGAAGTACCCTGTGGAGAAAGGAAAACATCTATAATGGCTACTCTGGCTGAATTTTATCATTTTGGGCGGTAAAATGTTGCTGTTTTACTGACACAATTCTTTGCTTTCTAAAACAGGCAGCACGACAACTAGAGTTCCTGGTTGGGAAAAAATCCACTGGTCCCAACACATATAGACTTGGAGATGCTTTAGGCATTGCACAGCACCATGATGGTGTCACTGGCACTGCCAAACAACACACTACAAATGACTATGAAAAACGCCTTGCTATTGGAGCCTTGGAGGTGGGCAGATAGAATCTCTTCTGAATTACTTGATCCTTAGTTCTTCATCGTTGCTAGTTAGTTTTATTCCTCAAAGTTAACTTAATGTATAGGCAGAAGCTACTGTGAGTTCTGCTCTGTCATGCTTGGTTAGCAATAAATCAAGAGATCAATGTGCAAAACCAGCATTGAATTTTAGTCAGGTACCTTTTGTTATTTGCTTAATCGTTCTTCCTTGTATAGATGAAAATATAGCTTTGCACTAAGGCCATGAGAAGAAGCAACGCACTTTCGTTATTTGAGGATTTCCTTTACGTCTTCACCACTGATTTCAATCTTTATCAAATTATGTCCATTTAGATGATCAATTTAATGCTCCTGGCCTGATGCTGCCTCTTTGAATTTTGTCAGTGTCAATTACTAAATATCAGTTACTGCCCGCCAACAGAGAAAGCCATTGCAAATGGGAAGAGATTGGTAATTTCACATTCTTCTACTTTTTCTTTATGTATACTTAACTCAGAATCCTATTCATTATGTAAAACTTGTTATTTGTAGGTCATGGTTTTGTATAACGCTCTTGGATGGAATCGCACTGATGTTATTAGGATACCAGTAAGTAAAATCTTGTTTTGTTGTTGATACTGTAAAGGAGGAAATGGGTTCATTTCATTCAACAAGTAGATGAAATCAAATCAAGGTGTTAGGATATAAATGATTAAAAGGCAGGAAAAACCTGTATTCTAGTTCATTTATATATTTTTTGTTATGCATTGACCTGTCCTGATCATGACTTAGATGTTAAGCACGTTCAGCTAGAAGTATCTGGTCTAGTCATCTTGGGTGTTTCATTCCTTATTCAGTAATTTCAGCATCAATCTGCAGTTTCTAGCCTTTCTAAATTGAGTTCGATGTGATTCGAAGATGTCCTCTCCCTTTCTCTTTCTGTGACCAGAGTTCATTCTTTCACTAAAATTGTTGAGTAACTATATCTACCAGGTTAATGACCCTAATCTAGTTGTTGCTGATTCCTATGGAAAACATATCGAGACGCAATATGTTACCATGGATAATACCACACGCAACTTAAGAAACTTTTATTTGAAGGCATATGGATTTACATCCATTCAAGTTCCCCGGTATTGGCTGCACTTTCAAGTGTCTGTGCCACCACTCGGTTGGAGTACCTACTTTATTGCTAGTGCTACTGGGATAGGTAAGCATTTGATTTTATTTTCTCCTTCTAGACCCTGCTTAAAACTAATGTGATTTCTTCTAAGGTTGATCTGCTGAAGAGAAGCACATGAAACTGAGTTTGTTTCTTTATTTTCTTTCAACTTACCTTTTTCATTTCTGGATAACAAAACTATGCAGGGAAAAGAAGAAACGGGCTCTCTGTGATGGACAACCCACAGAATGATACCATTGAAATCGGATCTGGAAATTTGAAAATGTCCTTTTCTTCTATGACTGGTCAACTCAAACGGATGCATAATTCCAAAACAGGGGTAGACTTTTTAACTATTCCTATGAGAGGTTTATAATGCTTGGCAGATTGTTCTTTTGGACCTTGTTTCACTTCATGAATGGAGGCGGCATAGGCTTTCCTTATGGGTTTTGATTCATTCTTTACCAACTGCTCCATTCTTTTCTGGACCTTCTAAAATTAATGCTTAGGGTTTGGGAAGGAAAATCTTCTTCTTACTTTGGTATTTGTGGCCAACATACAGAAATTCTTAAATAAATTGACTACAAGTTTATGATATTAACTCCCAAAGTAGCCGGCATGTGCAGTGGTTATTCAATCACAATCATACATGTCACTCTTCTGGGAAATCTTCTACGGCCTGCAAACATTATGCTTGTCAGGAGCTAATTTCTTTTCTACCAAGCATGCCTACAAATAACTCCACAGTTTGGAAAAGGAAATTCCACAGGAGCTAATTTCTTTTCTACCAAGCATACCTACAAAATACTCATGTAGAGATGTTTTTGTCTTAAAATTTGCTTGAAATCTGCATATGCTTCTATTCCTTCGTTTATCATTTAGTTTTAGTTTTGGCTCTTTGTTGTGTAACATCAATCTTCACAATATAGAACCTTGTATCGTTTCTTAATGACAATCCTGAAATGAAAATAATAAATAGATCAAGAGATGTTATGAAAGTGAAACTGGACATCATTTATAATTAATTGGTTACATTTTACTAGGTTGATGTGCCAATACAGCAAAGCTACTTTTGGTATGGTTCAAGCTCTGAGCAAATGGTATGCGACTTCCAAACCTGTATAAGGATTTATACCTGAGACTAAATTGATGCAGTAGTTGCTGATGTGCCATGTTTTATACAGCAATCTTCGGGTGCATATATCTTAAGGCCTGATGGTTCCCCTCCCCATGTTGTTGCAAGATCAGTAAGTTCTTTTTTCTTATGCTTAACAAATTACCAACCCTTTCTTGCGTGGAGTATAAACTTAAATGACAAATGAGTAAAAAAATCACAAGTCCACTTTAATCAGCTTAATGAAGCCTTATTCTCAACCATGTGGACTTGTAGTTCTTACCCCACACCCCAAGAATAAAGGGTCAAATTATAGCTCCTATTTTATGAGTTGATTATGTTTTTATTTATTTTGAAACTGTTTTGTTTATTTCCAGGTGCCCCTGCAGGTTCATCGTGGACCACTGTTTGATGAGGTTCGCCAACAATTTAATTCATGGATCTACCAGGTCAACATCTATAGGCATCTCTCCCTATAATTTTTTTTTCTTTGCGCTTGAGTTCCTACAAGAACATTCACAATATATGATGAGAACTTTGTTATAGCATTTATCCATAAATTTTTATGGTTTATGTTTCCTCCACCACTTGCTCCTTTCCTGCTTAAATTTTAGTTTATGTTTGTTTATCAGGTAACAAGAGTTTACAAAGATCAAGAGCATGCAGAACTTGAATACACTGTAAGTCACATTTTCTGAATCCTAACTGCTTTTATTATTCATTTGTGAAAGTCTGACTTGTTCTTCACAATAACATTCAACTCTTGTAACTAAGCATGCTCTGCCTACCAATTTGTCTGCTCGCTTTCTGTAAACTAGAAGTTAAAAATCTGTCTCTAGATTCATACCAAGCATTCCTGACAAGTTTTGAATCATGAAGATTGGCCCAATTCCCCTTGAAGACGGTGTTGGAAAAGAGGTAATCACAAGAATGACAGCAAATATGGCCACAGAAAAGGTGTTTTATACTGATTCTAATGGAAGGGACTTTCTAAAGCGGGTAACTCTCTCTATAGTTTCTTTCCAATGTCAGAACCTCTCAATATATCCTTAGTGGAAGAACATGCACATTAAATAATGCTAAGTTGAGAATTCTCAACTTGATCACGATTAGGAGCTAGCAAAGACACATCAAATTTGTGATTGTCAATTATAAATTGCACTCATCCTTATTGCATGAGTCAAGCAATGAGTGGTTGGAATACAAAGTGATGTATTATAAATCTGCATTGCCTGACGTTCAAAGTGATGTATTATAAATCTGCATTGCCTTAAAGAACGTCAGTTTTGGGTTTATGAACAGCTTTTCACAGAGGTCCATCCATCCCAACCTCCATTCTCTTTTTTAAACTGTTCATTTTGTTCTCTCTTATTGAAGCCTCCGTTAGATATTAAGGATATTGTATTCTCTAAACTAACCTATCATTATTTTTTCACAGATTCGAGACTACAGAGCTGACTGGAGCCTCTCTGTCAATGAACCTGTTGCAGGAAACTATTATCCAGTAATATTCTTTATGCTAGCATCAACCTGCAGAAAATTCAGTTTCTTCACGTGTAAAACTTTGCAAAACATATTATCTTTGTGGGCATTGCTCGTTGTTAAGATCCAGTTATTCAGATTCATTTTGACAATTACTTAGCAAATGCTTATAAACTGCTAGTCTAGTTCTTTTTTTTCCCCCTTCCAAATTGATGAAAGTGATCCGTCTTATCAATCATCATAAAAAGGTCAATGAATAAATAATATCGATACCTTTTGGAATTTTTCAGCTTAACCTTGGAATTTTTACAATGGATAAGAGATCTGAATTATCAGTCTTGGTTGATCGTGCCACTGGAGGAGCCAGCATTAAAGATGGTCAACTAGAACTAATGCTTCATAGGTTCAAATAGTTACATTATGTTTTGTTTAATGCTCAAGAATCGCTATGCTTTTCACCTGTGGACATACTAAACTAATTGTTGTTCCTTTCATACACAAGGCGGACTCTCCATGATGATTCTAGAGGAGTTAATGAGGCCCTTGATGAAAGTGTTTGCATTGGAGATGAATGTGAAGGACTAACGGTATGATTTACCATGAAGTAGCAACTTTATATTCTAGAAGTCCTGGATGAACACTTCTCATTCTCATTCTGACCACAATTTCATAGTTGTTACTTGAAAAGTACATGGTCTGCGTTGTTGAAACCAACAGCTGTGAGAAAATGCTTGTTCTAAGTTTCTTGACCTCATTCTTGGATGAAATAAAGGGCTGCGGACAAGCACCTTAAGGATATAAATGCTTCATATGCTCATTTTCCTTACAATCAATCTACATTCCTTTTCAGATTAGAGGAAATTATTATTTGAGCATCAACCAGGTAGGGGCTGGAGCAGTCTGGCGCCGAACAACTGGCCAAGAGATTTACACACCACTTCTTGCAGCTTTCACACAGGAGGTATGCCCTCATTGTGATAACCATACGTATGAATTTTGTTAGATCCTAATTTGGCAATTGATTGATTATAAAGAAGGAAGAGACTTGGAAAGCATCTCATGTGGCCACGGGAACTGCCATGGATCCCGGCTACAGCTTGCCACTAAATGTTGCTTTGATAACCCTTCAGGTGAGGGTGCCATCCTATTGTAGAATAACAATTACATTGCTCAAGTGTATTTCTTTCTCACTTGTCGTTGTCTTGCAGGAGCTGGATGATGGGAGTGTTCTTCTCCGTCTGGCTCATTTATATGAGGTAATGAGCTCATTACTCATGCTCTGTGTCCTCCACCTTGCCATTCTGTTTTGCTCTGCAATGACTTGCTGACATCCTTTAACCCCTTCTTAGTTGCTTAGTTTCTCATCATATTTACTCTAAAAAATAGCACCGTTATGAGAACAATTATAAGAAGAATAGACCCGTGTTTACACAAGCAAGATGAACATTGAATCACTCCTTTCATGAAGTATAAGAATAGACCTGTCTTTCTTCAACCTTACAAAGGGAGGATTGAGGGAAAGAACCCTCAGCATTTCCGGTTGCCGAATGTTGAATCTCGGAAACCAAGATGATTGTCTCATTGTCAAGGATAGATGTGAAACTTCGAACCAAGCATTATCCTGCTTCATGATAGTGTTTATTTTATTGAATTGAAGTAACCCGGCTAAGTTACAAATAATTCTAATCCGAACCTCTTCAATGCTGCAAATGAGGTCAGGCGGGAGAAGATGCTGCTTATTCAACACTAGCTAAAGTTGAACTGAAGAAGATGTTCAGTGGAAAAGCAGTAAGGATATCTCTATCTGTTTCAGCGCAATGTGTTTTGTTTTCTTTCATGTTTGTTGCCAAGTGGTGTTTCAACTTTCAGATTAGGGAGCTGAAGGAAATGAGCTTGTCATCAAACCAAGAGAAATCAGAGATGAAGAAGATGACATGGAAGGTTGAGGGAGACAACGGAGAGCAACCTGCACCCGTTAGAGGTGGTCCTGTCGATCATTCAACTCTCATTGTTGAACTTGGTCCCATGGAAATTCGCACTTTCTTGCTACAATTTTGATATTTATTCACATGGAATCTCTTAAACTTGTTAACATGTATTTCAGAATAAATGAGGTGATGGATCTTTTTCAATGGGATCTCTCTCCTCATGTCCTTCACTTTTCAAGATTTTGATTATTCATGCGTTGCAGGATTCAAAGTCACCGGTTGACTTTCTGAGGAAATATTTTCCTCATCTCATGTTAATTATAAAATATGCACATTAAAGAAGGATCCAATTGAGAATGTGTGAAATGTACGAGACATGGTCGATGAAATTAGATTTGGGATGCAGTTGATGATGAGCATATAGTTTAAGTGCTAATTGAGTTTCTCCTTATATTTTTTTCCCACCATTTTCACGACTGTAAACTTTGACATGTCAATTCATTGTTGATTACTTTTCACGACTGTAAACTTTGACATGTCATTTCATTGTTGATTACTGTGCTCTTCCTCATGTTTCACTTTTGTCACTCAACTTTAATTTTTAAATAAACTCATCCTTTCATGCGATATTCTCTTCTCTATGCATGTTCTTGACAATTCAAGGTTCTTTATGAAAGATCTGAATTGACTTAGAGGTTAATTCCGTGAATTAGTATTTAAATTTGTAGTATTAAAAACAATTACAAGAAGAATGACCAAAATAAAAACTAAAAAAGAACTACCTCTTCATGAATTTGTGAACGACCTTATCGACAACACTACCATTTCCTTCCAAACTAGATTTGCAACTTTGAATTTGGACTCGTAGCATCATTACTGGTAGCACTCTCTCTTGGAAATCAAGAAAGAAACAAAAGTAACAAAGCACCGACGATGGTGGGTTTGATACTCTTTCATGTCTTATCCTTTACAGTTGAGAACACTACTACAAAATAACACATACTCTTTTCATCTTTTTAAAACACAGAAGAGCCCTTTAAAGGTTTCCTCACCTCACCTCTGTTTTTGTTTTGAATAACAGGGAAGACAAATGGTGGCTAGGTCTTTTTTTTTTTTTTATAGTTCCTTCGCAAAGTTGTAATATTAACATTACAAGAGATTTTTAGTTATTAAATAAAATATAATGAAAATCCTGTACGTGTTTTGTTGATTTTTTTCAACTAAAAATTGAGGATGTGAAGTGTTATTAAGTTAAGGAACTAAAGTTAAATTTCCAAAAGTACCAAGACAAAGTGAAACAATGATCAAACTACAAGATCCTCAGTGTAATTTATTTTTTATTTTTTACATTTTAATCCTTGATTTTCTAGATAGAAAAGAGAAAGTCATTGAAAAATGAAAGAAAAGAGAAAAAGTGGTCTGCATTCCAGCAAAAAAAAAATTGATTTTTGTATTAGAAGATTCATTTTAATAAGAGTAGTGTCAATGAAAATTTTTTTTTAAAATTTTTTATCTTGTTAAGAAAATAGACTAAGGCTAGTGAAATTTGTTTTAATTTAGTTAATTTTTAAATTTTTGACTGATTTAAAGGTGTTTTAAAATTGAAAATAGTTTAATGAGATGCTTATGTTGTTTTTCTAATTGTTTTCAATGAAAAAATAATTAAAAATAGATTTTTTGCAATACAAAAACTCATGCTCGGATTTTTCAGCCACATATAGTGGTTAAAGACTTTACTAATAACAACAAATCATTGGTTTATTATTTTTTAAATAGAACATATGAAAAAACAAAATAAAGCTAAGCATGATTTTAGATTAACTCAAAATTATCCTTTTTTTTATACAATTTTTTTATAAAAAGATGAAATTGGATCTTTGACATTTTTAGAAACTCAATTGCACAATTGAAGTATCTAGATGTTAAAAGCAATACAAATTCAAGGTTGACTTAAATAAATATTAGATGAATTTGCATAAAAACATAAGTTTGAGGACTTAATTAGATTTTTAATAGGCTGATTTGATTTAATCATGAGCCTAATGAAAGGTTTAATTAAGTTTATAAATTCATTTAGACCAAAATCAAAATAATTAATTATGTTTAAGGAATTAATTAGACTTTTAATAAATCAAATTAATTTTATTAAGGATTTAATCGGTAAAAAATTAAGTTTGAAAGTTTAATTTGGGTTTAAATTTAACTTTTACAAGCTTAATAGAATGAAATAAGGGATGAAATTGCAAGAAAATTAAATTTTAGGAGTCAATTATGGTCCAACTTGAATAAATTTAAGACCAAGAACCTTTATGCAAAAACACACAATATAGAACTGAATTGAAGAAAATAAAAGTTCAAGGTTTAATTGGAGACTAAATTGAATAAATTAAAAACCAAGGTTCACTTTGTAAAAGGCACTAGACTTTAAGGATCTCAATTGATTTTTGGCAGGGGTCAACACATAAAATTAATCAGTTTTGTCTCAATTAAGGATATTTGAGATTAAATTGAAACAACAGGGACCAAATTGAAATTTACAAAATCCCAGTTAAAAAATCCCTAATTCTTAGGGTTTAAGAATACAACATATCACTCGAATTTAATGAAAAAACTGAGTGACACATCGCCTACCCTTGTTTGCCATCTTCTTTAGCCAAAAAGACTAATCGAGTTGCCACATTTAAATAAATAATCATGGTATCTCCGACTACCTCAAGGGATTCAATCACCACCATTTGACAGAGAAGCTACCTCTTTACAAGTTTATGTCAACTTTTTTCGATGTTTATGTCTCATTTGCCACATGAAAGCCCTTAACTTCTTATCTCAAGATAACTTTGTTTGGTTCAATAATACTTGATAGTGTTACACCTAACTTTAGATCGATGGTGAGAAAGCTACAAACCACCAAATGAAACATGATTTAATTAGATCGATGGTGAGAAAGCTACAAACCTGATTTGATCCTAATTGAATAATAACACCCCTATATAGGATCTATAGCTTGGTTGGCCTTAATGACCTCCTATTTTCCACTATTAATTCATAAAATATGGGTCAATTATTTTTAGCCAAGTTTCAATTATAAAGTTCTTGACTTTTTTCTAGAAGTTCCGAGAATCTTTTAGACATCCAAGGAGAAGAAAAACATAAGAAAAAGAGAGAATAATTGTCTTCTAACAAATCAGAGGTAAAAATATAAAAGAATCCTCTATGATCTAGTTTTGAAAAATCACCTTCTAACCTATATATGGTTTCATAATCACTTGCCCTTTAGAGGCTATAAAAGGAAACGAAATCACAGAGAAAAGGGGAGATCCTAGGTTAGAAAGGAAATATTACAGAGAAAAAAGAAAGGAAATAAATAGAAACCTAGAATAAAATTAAAGAAAAGGTTATAAAGATTATGTGTTAAGAAGAAAATGGAGGAATCTAAATCAATTTGAAAAGATTATGTGTTAAGAAGAAAATGGAGATGGAGGAATCTAAATCAATTTGAGATCGAAAAGAAGTTGAAAATCAAGAGGAAAGAAGCAAATAATCTAGAGAATGAATCAACATTTCTTTTATAAGGTAAACCTTCAAACTTTGATGGGGGTGGAGCTTAATGAGCTCACACACCCTTTTATTTTGTCTTGTAAATTACTGCTTAAAATGTTTGTTAAGTGTCTTTTGAAGTCATTTGCTAATTTAAAATTAATTGAATATTTGTTTTAAGATGTTTAAGCATGCTTTGAAAATATTTTATATATTTTCAAGTTTTGTTGGATTGATTGTTTAATGTGTTAGAATGTGATAATGTTATGGTATATGATAATATAACATATTGTTTTGCATGTTTGAATGTTTTGTTAATTATTTGTGAAGCCATGACAAATTATGTTATGTTTTGATGTTGTTGTGGATTAGATTAGTTTAAGATAATTTGTCAGGTTTGTTGAAGTTGTAGGTATGTTATTTGAGCTTAAGGACAATGAATTTAATTAATGGAACAATGTTATTGCCTAAGAGAATGCTTACTTAGTGATTAGTATTTAAAAGTGCATATTTATCAAGATTTTATATCATCATTTTGCACTTGAAGTATCAATAATTCCTTAACTAAAGCAAGTTTTATAATAACATATCTAATAATATAAGATACCTTTAATTTATGGTAAATATTCATTTTAAATGCAGGCCTATCATATAAATGAAAGGATTGATTGATGAGTTTAAAAACTAAAATTGAAAGGACAAAGGGATGGCCAAACTTAGAAAAGAGATGTTGGTGCAGTCCAAATTGGAATATTGTTCGGTAATTAGGTCATATCTAGACTTGTAGATCTCGGATTTAGGTCTATTTTATATGGATGGAAAGGTAAGACATAGGCCTACAACTTTCATATGGAGTCTAAGATTTAATAAGATAATTTTCAAGTTTAAATTATATCAACAATGAAGAAGTCTGAATCTGTCCCGCAACCCGAATATTATTTAGTGTTTGGTTGATATCTGGAGTTCTAGAAGTCCAAATGACCTCCATTTTTTTTTTCTTGAAAAGTAAGACAATTTCCTACAATTTTGGGCAGATAAGAGAAGATAAGAATTGTCACTAAGT